TGTCCTCCTTTGTTAACATAAAAGACCCGGCACACACAGCTAAGGAAACAAGCAGATATGATTAGAGTGGAGCTGGAATTGGGGGTGGGTGGGCAAGGAAAGACTGCAGAGTGGGCTCCTTCTAGTTTCTGTTCCCAGTCCCATAGTTAAGCGACAGGTTCACAGAAGAAAACTCTTGTTCTGCAGCTGGATACAAGTTCGGCAGGTTTCTGGCCCAGCGAGTGAACTCACGGAAATGCCAATCTATCCACAGTCAACTATTAGTAAAATAGAGTAGATGACAGATCTGGAAGGACCCACTGAATGCCTGGTTGAAATATTTAGTTGCAAGAGAACACCAACAGAAAAATATAGCTTGCGGGGAGGGGAGTGACCCTCGGTTATCCCCGACAGACCCCCAAGCAAACCTCAGAAGTGACCCTGATCTAAAGCAAGGAAACGTGCAGATTGGCCAATTGAGTCTGCCTCCCTGGCCGCGTTTGCCTCCAAATGGAGCCTTCCCACAGCTGTTTGGACCAGCTTGTGGCGCATTGTTGTGTCTGTTAAATATAATTAAGAACTGCTTGCTCTAGGGGAAATGAAGGATTTGATTAAGAGGGAGTGTTTCTTCTCCCTTTCTTCTTTCTCGTTTTTGTTCAACCTTATCCAGATTTTTTAAACTATTTTTTAAATCATGTCACGTTCTGGGGCAATTTCCACTTTGTTGTAGACAATCAAATGCTAAGGTACATATTACTAGGGCGTGTGTGTGTGTGTGTGTGTGTGTGTGTGTGTGTATAGTTTCAGATGGAATTAAAGAGGCTTGGAGAGGGGAATGCATCCCAAACTGGTTTATTTTAGACCCTCAAAAAACAAAAAATTCATAAAACCAAAACTGACTGAAGCAGATTATGAAGAACTCCGAGCAAATGCCAAGTGGCGGGCTCCTCGGGCTCAGAATGGCATTTGCACTCTGCAGCTATAATTTCTTTGTTAACAAGTAAATCCTCCCAGTTCTCTCTGTGGCTTCTGATGTGTCACTATTATATACCACTACGGAACGACCGCAGAGGGTGGGCCAGGGAGGGAGGGGACATGACACCAGCCATCAATCTTTCACAAGCCACAAGTTCTAAAAGAGCACCGGATTTATGAGCAAACAAGTCCAGAGAGCCCCAGCCAAGGAGTAAAAACTCATGGGGTTGGGATGACTGCGAACATGTCAGAACCAAAGGAGGAGGGAAGGAAGATGGCACAACCAAACAGGTCTTCCTTGCAGACAAATTATTCTAATTGCCATCAAACCTGATTTCAAGAGCATTTTACAGTTCTTTTTTCCCCCTTTAAAAAAATCAAATAGGAGATGCCAATAAATGTGATCGATACCTGGAGAAGGCCTATGGTTAGCCAATATCCCCATAAGCATGTTTGTACAAACGCCCTTCTTAGTGGGGTTCTGTTGCTTGTCTGAGGGAATCTGCTCTGTGCAATGTGTAAGGCCTTGAACACAGTATGTGTGAGTGCATTGAATTAGTGGCATTCTAGATATTGAAGTTAAACAAAAACTGTGCCTTTTCTTCTCCTTTATTGTCCCATCAATTATCAAATGCCCCTAGTACATACCCCAAAAATGTTTTTAAATCAGCTTTTCCTTTCCCATTCCCAGAACTGTATCCTTTTCCAACAAGTATCATGCAATGCCTCAAATATCGAATATCACAATATTTACTGAGCCAGTCTCCTGGTTTCTGGTTTATCAGATTGCTCTTCCTAAGCACCCCCAGCTCAAAAGCTTTTAATCACTTTCTGTTGCTTTGGGGATAAAGCTCAAACCCCTCTGCTGACATTCTGGGCTCATCACAATTCAGCATCGCTGTGCCTCCCCAGATTTTCAACAAATCTCAAAAGGAAGACTATGCTTGCATCAAGCCAATGCCCTCGCCAGCCTTGTAGCAACCTGTGCATTTCTACTGCAATGACTTTCTTTTGCTGCTCACCTACCCCACCTGGAATGATTCTCACCCCCACTCCTTTTCCTCTTTGCATCCTCCTGTGCATCAGGATGGAAGGCCCACCTTTCCCACATGGAACCTGACCCCCTTTCTTTGTCGTAAGAGACCTTCAGAATGCCAGTGGATTGGTACTATCTGTTTCACTATCACCTCCCCTTCCAGGCCACTGGTAGGATTTCCTCTCTCAAGCATTGCCCTGCCTTCTTGATCTACTCTCCATCCATTCATTAATCCATGCTTTCATTCGACAACCATTTATTATCTATTTTGTGTTCGTGCACCAAGCAAGGACTCATGCATAGAAATATAAATGAGAAAGTCTGTTGTCAAAACTCTCCTAATCAAAGACAAGCAAATTATAGTGCACTATGCTTAGCTCGGTAAAATACATTTACATTCTACATAAGATATTTCTGGTTGTCAGAATCTCAAGTTCCTGAGGACAGAGACTACGCCATGGACTTCTTCTGTGGTCCCTATTAAGCTTATGGAGTGTGTAACCTGGTTTATGAAACATACTTGCTCAATGTTATTGAATGTTTCAATAACAGATTAGGGCTTGAAAACTGTCTCAGTATTTCTTCATTCTGCCAAGAAAAATACTCTGGTCTAAAATGAGACTTACATAGACTATCTCTGAAGGGATAAATAAGTAACTGGTTGCCTCAAGAAAAAACTGGTTGGCTAATAAATGGGGGTGAGAAGAATTCCATTATACACTTTTATACTTTTGAATTTTATACTATGTGAATGAATGAATAACTGAAAATTAAATCAAATGATACATTCTCTTCAATTAAAGTGGCAATGAATCAATGGGACAAAACTATAGATGCCAAATTTTTCTTTTTCTCTTGTCCTCCTAAGGGTGGTTGGTAAAATAATAACTTAGAAAAATCTTTACTGTAGATACAGATAAGAAAAATTATAGGAAGAATGCAGGTGAATCCATAATACACAGTACCATTTCAAAATAATTCTTGACTCCCTCCTCTTTCTGACAGATTTGTTTCTCTTTCCTCCTGCATTTGCTTCTAGCCTAGATTCAAGTTTGAGTCTAGAAATAAGAAAAAACATGTGGCTTGACATCAGCAGTCTCTGGCCATGGTGCCTTCTTGTCCACAATGAACGTGACCAACAGCAGAGTCTGTGGGGTGCCCCAGAAGCCTCTGGCCTTTGCCAAGGCCATTTGTCCTAGTCATGCCTGTAATGAAGCCCAGTACAGTCTCAACTGTCACCGGAGCCCCTGCCAATGCCACTTCCCTCTGTACATCCTTCTGGATCTGTTCACCTTCTTATCCCAGGAAGAAGAAGCTGATTTTAAGGTACAGACGGCGATATTAAGAGGGTCAGCTGACAAACACTTGGGCAAACGACAAAAGAGGGACAACATCCTTTTCTACCTACCTACCCTACAGCTGGGAATGTTACTTTGGCAAGAAACAAAAACATTTTAAACTGGGTGCTCTTTGTATAAAAAATATCATAGAATGGAAAGTTTTCAGAGACTACCCCTATTAACAAGCACCCTGCGCTTGGATCGAATCAAGCTCAACATCACACTCTCAGAGCTGTTCGTGAAAAGTAAGAACTCTCCAGACCCTGTGGAACATCTATTAGCTGTCTGTTTCTCCGCGTCCCCCAACTCCTTGTGCAAATCATATTCAACCCATTTGTGATAATGTTCTCACTGGCATGCCTGGAAACTATTAAAAACAGATGTCCAGACCACACCGCAGACATGTGGGGATGGAGCAGCTCTGGTGGAGTCGTAAACATGTCTCTGTGATGGAGGATAAGCTCCCTTCAGGTGTCTTTCTGGTCCTCTTATGGTACCAAATATATAACTTCCAAGCGATAAACTAAAGGCAGTTTGTATTTGCATTTACTTTGGCATCATTTTTTTTAAAATTTGCTTTAACTGATTCTGAAATGTAAACTCTTATCTTGAGCTGCTGAGGCCTTCATAAAGATTGCAAGGAGACCACACATTTATACCCTGAAACTAGAGATTTGCTTGTGTACGTTACCCACCCTGGAAAAGCCGGATCCTGCTTTGTTTCATCCAATAAATGCTCTATTATTAGGGAAAGAAAGAGGGGAAGGAGGGGATAACTATATTTAAACCAACTTTTATTTGCCTTCACTGTTACCATGAATTGTTCCTCCAGTATTTGCACAGTTTCTGAAATTATTGAAACCAAAGCAACGTTTGTCCCAGCTGTTTTTGGTAATGAGGAAAATATGTCTGGTCTTATTCATTGTATCAGAACACAAGAGTAGGCTTTGGACATGAACAAAGGGTAATAACTAGAGAATCCCAAAGAACTGACTTCTTTAAAGAAAGATTAGAAATTGAGTTAAATATGGCACCCTTTCCTGCTAAGTCCCTGACTTTTGAGAATTGTTTCTATGTTGACGGTTTGTTTCTCATACTACAATGTGGGGAAGGATTCGAACCCATCCCATGTAGGAAGGAACGGATTTAAATTAGAAATGTTGAGCTCTCCAGAGCAACTGCAGATATGAAAGACAGAATGCATGGCTTTCTCTTCTGCTTCCCTCTCCATCCACCGCACCCTCACCCAGCCCCTCACTCCCAGGAACCCACATGCGCTAAGGGCTTCTGTCTGTCCCTCTGGGGCAGCAAATCTGGAAAGGAGGGTGCTGCAGGAAGCTCATAATGTAGAGGTTTTCTGAGCTTCGAGGGTATTACTGGGGCTTACTGGGAGCCATCGCTTCCCCCAGAACTCATGTGTGCCCAGGCAGTACTGAGTTCTGAGCCAACACATGGCCTGATGCAGCCACAAGGGGTTAAGTGTGACTGTGTCACATGACTCTCTAGGCTGTCAGCAGAGACCCAGGGCACAATATGGAAAGGGCACTTCGTCTTAGTCTTCTTTTCTCTCAGCCTAGGAAGTTATATATTTAGTAGTTTTATGACCAGTAAGCAGAAAATCAAATCATCAGCTCCAAAAGAAATAAATAGGAATAGAAGTATATGTTTACCTCTGTTTTGCTTTCTTTATGCTTTTGGGAGACCCAAAGTTGTTGTTGTTGTTTTTTAATCTTTGTCAATTTTTTTAATACACAGTTGATTACTGATGATGGTCTTTATCTCCCATGTTATTTCTAGATTTTTCTTTAGTAAGATTGAGATGATCTTCACACACCCTCTGGTATTAAAAACAATCACAGATGAATAAGGAAAAACTTTCTGTGGTTATTTCATAAGCAGAGAAAAGTAAACACAGAATAATAATTATGAATAAACAAATATTTATTTTGAAACTGTGCAAAGAGGAGCAGCCCTAAGGAAATAAACTGCTTCCTTAGGCAGCAGGGTGAAAATGCAAAAAAAATTTTTTTTTTTGAAACAGTCTTACTCTGTTGCTCAGGCTAGAGTGCTGTGGCATCAGCATAGCTCACAGCAACCTCAAACTCCTGGGCTCAAGCAATCCTCCTGCCTCAGCCTCCTGAGTAGCTGAGACTACAGGCATGCACCACCATGTCCAGCTAATTTTTTATATATATTTTTAGTTGGCCAATTAATTTCTTTCTATTTTTACTAGAGATAGGGTCTCACTCTTGCTCAGGCTGGTCTCAAACTCTTGAGCACAAATAATCTACCCACTTCGGCCTCCCAGAGTGCTAGGATTCAAAATATTTTTATGAGAATTTTTTTTAAATACAGATGTTTGCAGTCTTGTGGATAAATATTTTTATTTTTTATTATTTTTATTTTTATTTTGAGACAGAGTCTTGCTTTGTTGCCCCAGGGTAGAGTGAGTGCCATGGCGTCAGCCTAGCTCACAGCAACCTCAAACTCCTGGGCTCAAGCAATCCTTCTCCCTCAGCCTCCCGAGTAGGTGGGACTACAGGCATGTGCCACCATGCCCAGCTAATTTTTTCTATATATATTAGTTGGCCAATTAATTTCTTCCTATTTATAGTAGAGACAGGGTCTCGCTCTTGCTCAGGCTGGTCTCAAACTCCTGACCTCGAGCAATCCACCTGCCTTGGCCTCCCAGAGTGTTAGGATTACAGGAGTGAGCCACCGCGCCCAGCCTATTTTTAACTCATTGTGATTCAGGGAGGACTTTTGTCCCCATACTTCCTTTTTGCCATTGTCCTTTGAGCTTTCCCTATCCACATTCCTGAAAACTTATCAAATCAGAAGCACCTACTGCCTCTTGGAATATTAAGATTATCAAAATGTCAACAGAAAGGACCCAATCATACTCAGGTTTGAGTTTTAAAACTGTGATCTGTGAGACTCATAACACAGATAATAGGTTGCATTTTAAGAGCTGGGTTTTTGAGTTTCAATAGACTGAGCCTATTGAAGCACATAAAGTTTATGACATAAACAATAGACTGGAAAGAATACAGCTGAAAACTAAATTACAACTTCCTGGGCTAGGGTAGGAGATAGGAGAGGAGGGCAATAAAAACCAGATGATGATGCAGGTCTGCAGGAAAGTTCTCTAGACCCTGGTACGTAGTGAGGACTCAACAGTGGCTGCTCACACCACCACCCCACCCCCCACCACACCAGACAAGCTCTGGAGGGAGGGGAACTGATAGGAAGCTGAGTGCCCAGAAGACTGGGATTCCTAGGGGAAGCCTGGGAAGTGAGACACCTCACAGAGAAGTGTCTTTTGCCAGCATGGGGTAGCAGATAAAGAGTTGTTGGGGTAGGTCTGAGGCAGCTCCCTGAGTCTCAGCCCAGAGAGGAAGGAGAGAGCATCCAACACTGCCTCATGCCCTCTCTGCTTCCAGCAAGGGAGCAAAAGGGCTGTGAAGACGAGGGAGCCGAAAGGAGCCTCAAAATCAGAATAAGTTGAGCTCAGAGTGTGTGGACCACAGCCAGAGACAGTGGTTTGGCCATACACTGCTCAATGAATGCTTCAGGCGTGGAGAATGAAGACACAAGCCCAGACACCCCTCCCTCCAATTCACTGATGATACATAGCCCTTCCCTGCATCTCAGATACAGCCCAGGGAGAATTTACCCCTAATTGACTAAGTTGTAGTACCTGTCATTAGTGAAATAAGGGCTCAATTTAGAAATTAAGTGGAGTTTTGTTTTGTTTTTAAGATTTTAAAGTTATGTCTTTTGCATACTCAAGTACATGGAGAGTAAAGGTTATGTACACACTACACTAAACTAACAGGAAAATATAATAACAATACATAACAGCCTCACAACAAGGAATGTTGAAAAATATCTTAGTGTCTTGATGAGTGAGGATGAGTCATCCCTCGTGGGCTACTCTCAGGGTTGCTTAAGAAATAAGCTCAATAAAATTTAAGTAAGCATGTAGACATCTCAAAGTAATTACCTTTTGTTAGTTTTTTTGTAATGATCACATTTTTGTTAATATGAAATTATTTGGGACTGAGTACCACAAATGGAAAAAAATAGAAACATAGAAAGTTTCTATATAAAACATAGACAAAATGAAAAATAACTAAGATCATGGTGCAATTTGGAGGAATAAAGTAAGGGATAATTTTCCATAGCTTAAAAAACATCATGAAGAATGAACGTCTCCATAATGATTTTGAAGACATGATAAATTCTTTTAAATACATTAGCTACATTTTTAGGCTATATCCAAAATCACCCATAATTTTCCCTTTTTCCATTCCTCCCCTTCTTCCATGAAAAGAGAGTATTTGAGGCCTCTTACTTATCACTTCATGTTCCACATTCTCAATTTGTCAATTTTTATCCACATGCTAATTATTCCATTTATTCATTCATCCACTCAACAACAATATACTGGATGCTCGGTGTATGCCAAGTCCTGCCCTAGGTTCTAGGAATCTATCAATGAACAAAATAGACAAATTGTCCTACCTAAGGAAGCTTACATTCTAATAGGAGTGCCAAACATTAAACAAATAAATATGTTGGAAGACTAAGTGCTACGGACAGCAATAAAGTAGGAAAGGGAATAGGTAATGTTGGAAGGAAGAGTAATTATCTTAAACACAATGGTCCGAACGTATCTCACTGAGATGTTGGCATGTAAGCAAACCCCTTAAGGAGATGAGGAAGTGAGCTCTGCAGAGAACCAGGGGAAGAGCATCCCCGGCAGAGTGAACATTAAGGCCAAAGGCTTGGAGGGGATGCATACCTACTGTGTCCAAGGAAAGAACAAGAAGATTAGTATGGCTGTAAAGAAGATAGGAAATAGTAAAAGGAAATGAGGTCAGGGAAGTAATGGGAACCAGATTATAGGGCCTAAAGACCATTACAAAGACTGGGGCCTTTGCTGTAGAGGACTATAAGCAGGGAGGTGACATTATCTTAATGACATCCTGCTAGGACCACCATGGCTGCTGGGTTGGGAATAGACTGAAGAGGGCAATGGCAGACACAGAGCACTGAGGAGTATTGCAGTAATTCAGATGACAGATCATAGAGTCATGGATAAGACTGATCACCACGGGGTGAAAAGAAATGGTCAGATTCTGGACATGATTTGATGATAAAACTGGAAAGATTTATTTATGGATTAAGTATGGGGTGGGGAAAAAAGGAGTCAGAGATGCAGTGAACTGGAAGAACTAGAAGGATACAGTTGCTATTAGCTAAAAGGAGGAAAACTGAAGAATTCAATTTGGGGCAAAGATCAGACACTCAGTTTCAGCTATTAGACAGCCAAGTGGAAAAGTCAAGGAAGGAGTTGGGTATAGGTCTGAGTTGGAGACATAAATAGAGAATGATCAGTGTTTTAATAGGTTTGGACCTATATGTTTAGACAAAGTCATCCACGGGATGAGTATAGATAAAAAAAGAATTCCAAGAACTGAGCCTTAGGAAAGTCCAAAGACAAAAGTTCTAGAAGATGAAAAGGAACACAGAGTCTTTGTTTGAGATAGGAGTGAAACCGAAAGTGGGGATAATCCTGGAAATATCAGAAGGAAGCTAATCACTTAGGGATAACATTGATATACACTACTGCCGCCCTTTAAGCATCTTCTGCTCTTTAGTAATCTTCAGCTTTTAGCTAAATAGCCACAGAGGGGTGAGGAACAACAGATAAAACACAAGACCTGACTAAGGAGGTTAAACTGATGAAAAACTTCTTCATAAAAATGGTGGTCCACATGTTCTCACAAGCGGGAGCTAAACAATGGGTATATACGCTCATAAGGTGGTATAATGGACATGGGGAACTAAGAAGGAGGAGGCAGGAGGGAGGGTGAGTGATAAAAAATGATCTATCTGGTGTAATGTTCATTATTCTGGTAACAGGTACACTGAAAACCCTGACTTCAGCATTGTACAATTCATCCATGTAACAAAAAAACACTTGCACTCCCTAGATCTATTTAAATAAAAAAAAAAAAATGGCGGTCCAAAGAATCTTCAAGCCAAGAATTTATTTTAAAAGAATCATAGGTAGGCCAGGCAAAGTGACTAGATCATGTCTGTAATCCTAGCATTCTGGGAGGCCAAGGCAAGAGGATTATTTGAGGTCAAGAGTTCAAGAGCAGCCTGAGCAAGAGTGAGACCCTGTCTCTAACAAAAAAAAATAGAAAAAATTAGTCAGGCATGGTGGTGCATGCCTGTAGTTCCAGCTACTTGGAAGGCTGAGGCAGAAGGCTCACCTGAGCCCAGGAATTTGAGGTTGCTGTGAGCTATGATGATGCCACTGCACTCTAGCAGAAGCAACAGAGGGAGACTCTGTCTAAAAAAAAAAAAGAAAAAGAAAGAAAGAATCATAGGTTCATAGTGATCCCCAGGCTCCTGACAGAAGCAAATTCCTCTCTAGAAGAATACTACTTCATCTAGATTGCAAAGAATTTCCATAAGTAAAATTCAATTGAACTTGACCACATTCATACATCATTGAGTACATGAGAAAATATGCACCATGAAAAGTCAGCAGAAATAACAGACAGCACAATCAGACCTGCAAAGACATCAGTTGATATATTTTGAAAATATATATGATTAAAGAAAAGTGTTATGGTTTGCAACTGTTTCATTCTGTGTTTAAAGGAATAAAAAACGGGATTAAAATTATGAGTAAGAGAAAAAAAAAGACTATGAAAATTACCAAGCAGTTTGGAAAAACACTAAATAGAACTTACAGAAATGAAAAATGATAACAATTGAAATTTTGAAATACAATAAATGGATTAAATAGAGTAGACA